GAAGACAAATTGTCTGGGGCCACACAAAATACACTGACACTAACCATAGCTGATGAACTTAAAAAGGAAAAAAGAAAGAGAAATCTTAATGTTTTAAGAAATTTTACGGATTTATGCTGGGCTGCATTCAAAGCTGTCCTGGGATACATGTGGCCCACAGGCTGCAGGCTGGACGAGCTAGCATACTATACTCTGAGTATAACCCATTGTTAGAACACACAAGTGAAGTCACAGATTTTGGTGTGATGTATATTTAATCCAATTTTTAAATGATTACACTTTTAGTTCAACTAACGATTGGTTTAGGTACTTACTGAGGCATTTACTTCCCTAGCAGATTTTTAAAAGGTAGTGAAAATAGGAACAATTTTTAGACTTCATGGTATATCTCATAGTAAAGGGGAGCACTTCCGGTTATAAGAAGATCTAAAAGCACATCTAAATTTTTTCTAGAAACCAGAGACATTAAACATGAAAACAGGATAAATGGTGGATAGACTTTAGCTTTACTTCTGACTTAAACCTTTGCATCTGATACATTTAATCACAAAAATAACAAATTAAAATTAAGATAAACAAGCCAACCGTTGAAAAAGACAAATGCCCATGGCCAGGCACTGTGGCTCACGCCTGTAATCCCAGCACTTTGGGAGGCCAAGGTAGGTGGATCACTTGCAGTCAGGAGTTCAAGACACCAACATGGTGAAACCCCGTCTCTACTAAAAAACACAAAATAAGCCAGGAGTGGTGGTATACACCTGTAATCCCAGCTACTTGGGAAACTGAGACAGGATAATTGCTTGCACCTGGGAGGTGGAGGTTGCAGTGAGCCGGGATCACGCTGTTGCACTCCAGCCCGGGCAATGAGAGCAAAACTCCAACTAAAAAAAAAAGCCCAAAACAGATCAACACATAGTGGTTGATGTGTTGGAAATCTGATTTTATAACATAACAAGCACTGTGTACCAGTGGTGAAAGCAAGGACTTGTCAATAAATGGTATAGTCAACAGTTATACATCAGGGGAAAAGGGGGTTAATGTTCAACCTCTACCTCATACCATACACAAAATCAATTTCAGTGGATTCAACCCAAATATGAAAGGCAAAACAGATTTTTGGTGTTTAAAAAAAGAGCAGGCTTTCTAGCTAAGAAACGAAAAGTAAAATCCATAAAGGAAAAAGACTAGTAAGTTCACCTGCATTAAAATTAAGAACCTCAGGCCGGGTGCGGTGGTTCATGCCTGTAATCCCAGCACTTTGGGAGGCTGAGGCACGAGAATTGCTTGAACCCAGGAGGCGGAGGTTGCAGTGAGCTGAGA